GTGTTTTATTTCAGATACATATATTGCGATGAAATTGATTTGGCTGCAGATACCGTACTGGCCACTCTTTATGCTGCCAAGAAGTATATCGTCCCTCATCTTGCCCGCGCCTGCGTCAACTTTCTAGAGACAAGTCTAAGTGCAAAGAATGCCTGTGTGCTGCTTTCCCAGAGCTGCTTATTCGAGGAACCTGACCTGACCCAGCGCTGTTGGGAAGTGATTGATGCCCAAGCCGAGCTAGCTTTGAAGTCTGAGGGTTTCTGTGACATTGATTTTCAGACACTTGAAAGCATTCTCCGAAGGGAGACTCTGAATGCCAAAGAAATTGTTGTTTTCGAAGCAGCTCTAAACTGGGCTGAAGTGGAGTGTCAGAGACAAGAGCTAACAGCTACCATAGAGAACAAGCGCAAAGTCCTCGGGAAGGCTCTGTACTTGATACGCATCCCTACCATGGCACTCGATGACTTTGCCAACGGTGCTGCTCAGTCTGGGATTCTGACTCTCAACGAAACCAATGATATCTTCCTCTGGTACACGGCTGCTAAGAAGCCAGAGCTGCAGTTTGTGAGCAAGCCCCGGAAAGGCCTCGTTCCCCAACGATGCCACCGTTTCCAGTCCTGCGCTTACCGCAGCAACCAGTGGCGCTACCGGGGCCGGTGTGACAGCATTCAGTTTGCTGTTGATAAGAGAGTGTTTATTGCTGGCTTTGGGCTGTACGGGTCCAGCTGTGGATCGGCAGAGTACAGTGCCAAGATTGAACTCAAACGACAAGGAGTTATCCTAGGCCAGAACTTGAGTAAATACTTCTCAGACGGTTCTAGTAACACTTTTCCTGTGTGGTTTGAATATCCAGTGCAGATTGAGCCTGACACCTTTTACACAGCCAGCGTGATTCTGGATGGCAATGAACTCAGCTATTTTGGACAAGAAGGAATGACAGAAGTTCAGTGTGGGAAGGTGACTGTTCAGTTTCAGTGTTCTTCGGACAGTACAAATGGCACTGGGGTACAGGGAGGGCAAATTCCCGAACTCATATTTTATGCTTGAATGAAAGCAAAAAGCATTTTGCTATGAAGAGCCTGTCTGGTTCAGGCCTACTGATGCTTAGCTTTTTATCTGCAGATACGTGGTCAGTACAGGTAATACATAACTAAACGCTGTGGGCAAGTAACTGGCTTGCTATACTTCTACCATTGTTGGTGATAAAGTTTAAGTGTAATATTAAAACTGGAAGCTCTTAAGCAAGTTTTATAGGCTTTGTAAAAGGGGTGCTTGTTTGCTGGTGATGCTGACCCTTTCTTTGATGCACCTGTGAATCACCAGAGGATGTCCTCTTGTGTCTCACTAAACATTGTCTTCATTGATCCATTTTCTCTTTCTCCATTTTCTGCTTGTAATTATTTGGGGAAGTTGGGGTAGAAGATTAAGAGCCTTGTTTTATAGTTCACTCTTCTGTCTGCTTTTCAATAAACTGAGCTGCTTTTGATCATGGGAGCTGAAAGAAGTGCTTCAGTTGTAAGCAGAAAAATCATACGTTTAAACCTTCATCTTGTGAGACTCTCCTGTGGCCAGCTGTTTGGGATGGCTGCAGGGGAAGATGGAGAGAAGCAAACAACTTTCAGGAAGCTATGCAGTATGTTGACTCCACAGTGCACAGGCGTTTTTACAGTGCGGTGGGGATGTGGGCTTGGCAAAATCCCTGAAAGTTCATTTTCTAGGAATCTCACCTCACAGGCAAGGAAGTACTTGCACATGTTCGAATTGTGTATGCAGCTCTTGAAATCCTACTCCCATGACCTAGTTTTTACTGCATTTAAGTTGATTTGCTATTTAAATGGCTTTTCTTTGAACCCTTGCTAAGTAAATGAGAATTAATAGCTATCCTCTGATGCAGGGTAATTTTTTGTTTGTTTTGGGTGGGTTATTTTTCTTCCTCCTAAACATGGTAGAGATGGATTATAGAGGAGCAAAAGAATGCAGCAATCCTGACTTGGACTTTTTTCTGTAATATGAGATTGCTTCTTTTTCTTACCATACATTATGAGTGGAAATTTAAACAAAGACAAAAGATTCCCAACTGTGGTCATATTACACTTAATGTATCATCAGATAGAAGTGAGGAGGAGGAAGTCTTCTCTAATGTGTTAATGTTGGATCTCTTGCAACTGCTTATGGTTACACGTCAATCAGAGGATTATGTGGTACAGAACCTTTTCCTATATTCTTTTATTTTTCCCAAGTTTCCTGTTATACGTCTGTATCGTTTTTAGTAAAGTATTAGGGATCATGACTCCTTTTATCAGGGAAGGAAACCAGTATAAACAAGAAGTATAGGTACTGTAGAAACATAAATTCTTTCACCATTGTATTGGGACAGTTGCCTCTCAGAGAGAGGCACATTACCTGTTGTAAAGCATCTCATTCTTATTTCACCTCTGAAGTGGGTTCTGTTTGTTACATACGTTTTAATGAAATGAGAGGACCAAATGATTCTTTAGTCAGACTGAAGATTAATGTAACAGTATATCAACGCATTAATGTAGCATAACCTTAAATTCACTTGCCAGTTTTGTAATAAAAATGTTTTTTTCATATGATTTCTTACCATTTTAATACTATTACTCTGAGTGTTTCTTGACAGTTGGAAGCCTGGCCCCTGGCCATTGTAAAGTGCCAATACATCTTTGCAGTGTCCAAAATGCCATCTGAAGTAAGGAAAACTGGAGCATAGGCATCAAACACTTTATGGCCAAAGCCCAGATCTTCTCTCTAGGTAATAAAAGGAGAGCCAGGTAAAAAACTTCCCTGCAAGATCTATGCTTTTCACCCATGTTAGTGTTTAATGTTTTATATACATGCATAACACACGTGTGTGTATAAGTGACATTCTTTCTGAAATGTAAATACCCCCAAAATATATAGAAAAATGTTTTGTTTTTTTTGTAACAGATGTACATAATCCAGACTGTTAGTGAGATCTAAACAGAATGCTCCATGAAAAATTCCCAGAGAGATTTAAAAAACCTCCAGTTAATTATATTTAGATCCGCAGCCTAAAATAGACAAAGAGTATAAATTGTATGGACTGCAGGAAAAGTTGCTGGAGAAACTGCTAAAAGGAATTTAAGATTGTGATGAGGTAATGGTCATCTGCTTTTAGGCAACCTCTGAGCAGCAGTTCCATTTATTTAAATACATTTGAAAGCAGAAAAAGATGCTAATCAACTGATTAAGTTTTCTTGCAGCGAGCAGTTGATGTAGATGTAATTACTCTGAGTGATGATCAGATTGACAAGTTGCTTGCAGTAGCAAGCTGCATTCTGAATTGTTTGGAAAAAAATCAGGTGCCTCAGCTGGTGAGATGAATTGGCGAGTAATGCATTCTAGAACTAGGCTTGGGTGCTCACTTTTAAGTTATCTTTTGGTTTTTACTTCTCTGCAAATAAAGGTGAGGTATCCACTGCATTCACTGGCTGCAGCGGAAGTTGGGAGATCAGAATCCTGTGTAGCTGTAATATGTAGAAAGTGAGCTGTTACTTAATTATTATTTTACCTGCTACTTTTCTGAAATCTTTTTGCTGAAGTAGGATGAAAACGATTCCTCTGAATCCATTCCAGGTTTTAGGAGCTGGGGCATGTAAAGTTTTTCAATATGGGTGAATAAATGTAAGCCCCCAAAACACCTATCGATGTTTACAGCGTGACTTGATTCTAAGCACTGCTTGATGCTAACAAGTACTGGTATTTAAGAAGGTGCTAGCACCAGTCGCCTTGGCACATGAGGGCACTCAAGTAGGTGTCTAAATGTGGATTTGGTTGGTTTAGCATCAGCATCTAAGCTTGAATATGTTGATTGACGTTTTGAAAGCATCAGCTGTATCAACCTGGAATGTAAACATCGTGTCAATAGAGATCCTTTCATAGATTCTGTCTTAAACTGTTCCTGGCCATCTTTGCTACTTGTATGCTTGATTTTCCTGGTGAGGGGAATCTGTGATAAGAGAGTATAATGTAATATACTTTCTGCCTATCTAAAATAGTATTTAAGTAAACATTTTGATTTCTACATACTTATTGCACTGAAATGTTTGGGGGTTTTGTTTTTGTTGGGGTTTTTTGTGATAAACTCAGCTAACTTCAGGTCCCAACGCCCATTTGTGCTGGAGCAGTGTTTGACCATAGCAGGCTTACAGCATTATTTATAAAGGACAGATATATATAAATATGAAGTACCTCATGTTGAATGTTATTGTACTGTATCTTTAATGTCACAGTGCAGATCTTGTTGGACTCATGAATGTGTATAATTGCATTAAACATACAAATAAAAATGGTTCTTAAACTGTTGTTTCCTGCAGTATCTTTGAAGCATGAATTGTGAAAGCCTTTGCTTCATTATCCCTTTCATCCGATTTCTATTGTTGTACAGTTGTGCACAGATATTTGTTGAGCTTGTGTATTCAGAGATCTTTTGATCCCCAAAGAAGTAGAAGTCTAAGGAAAAAACAAGGAAGAACAATGAAAATGTTAATCAGTTACATTGTAAAAAGGTTGGCGATTAAGCTAATGAGCCAGAGTGAATGAATTCATTTATGTGCTTTATGAAAGACCTTGTCTATGAGCATTAATATTTCAATGTTCTATTAATATTATTAAGTATGTGAAGATGAAGGGGGAGGGTCTCATGTTTATTCCAGAAGACAGTTGGCACAGGAAAGGCCGTGGTTTTCAGTCTCTGATAGATCAGAATAGAGGACATGGTTAGTGCCAAGAGCCTGTTCTGTGCTGAAAAGTTAATTATGTAATATTATTCCAAATTCTGACTATTCTCTTACTTAATGATTTTATTCCAGGACATTTCAAACTTCATTTTAAATATGCTTCATGGTCAGTGAAGCTGAAGCCCCACTTCCATGATGTCCAGCTCCAGGACCTTTTGGGTATTACTAGCTAACGATAAGAAATACTTCACAGTGTGATATAGAAACATGGAAATTTACTGATATAGAAACATGGAAATTTAATTGAGGAGGTCTTTCCCAGTACAAACAATACCTTCAGACTTCATCCAAGATTCTGATGAAAGTATGTTTACAGGCATCAGACTTGTCACTTCTGGTAAGTTGTTCTTCTAGAATTACTTGGTACCACATTGCTATGTTCTTGATCCAAATTCTCTTACGTGTCCAGTGCTTCTCATTAGCTGGAGCTGGCTTCAGACAGGAGCTGTGTATGCCTTGTTCTGTACTAATTATACCAGCTCATAAATGTGTGGTACCTATCGGTGTAATTTGGTGCAGGAAGGACCACAATGGCGTTAGTCTAGCTAGATGTCTTAGAGATGATTGGTGCTTAAGGTCCTATTACCTCTGGTAAATAAGTAAGAATTAAGTGGACAAGATTAACAAAGGATGGCAAATCTCATCCTAAGGGACATTCTTTATTTCTGGCTGAAATCTGACAGAAGCTCTATGACACTTACTCTGGAAACTGATGTTAGGTACAGCTGTCTCTTGCACTGTGTTCAGTGATGAGGAGAAGCATGTGTGTATTTACACCAGAAAAAGAATGGAGTTTGGAGTGGAAAGAAAAAGAGATAGTATATTTCTGGGTTTGGGAGGAAGACGACTTCAAGAGCTGAATTCAGTTGTCTCACAGGTAAAATCCTGCTTGGTGGAGAAGGGCTTTCTGGTCCCACGCAGTTGGAAAATCCTCAGGAGCTGACAGCCACTGCCTCTCACAAGGGCAAGGGCCCATCTGAAACAGGCTCCTTGCAAGCGCTCAGCTCTTGGGAGCAGGAACCCAAAATTTCTTGGCCTCTGATAGGCAAAACTGCTTACCCTGCAGCCCAGGACAAGTCTGTACCTCCTTAAGGAATCTGACTGGGACTGCTGTAAACAGGGGGGTCTTTTTGGACCTCCCAAGCTCTGCATTCCACGGAAGATCCTGGTGCAGGGGTGAGATGGGGACTTCAGCCCACCAGCAGGATTTGGCCCCTGGAAAGCAGTGGCTTTTAAGCCAGCCTATTCCACCATGCATGTAAGCAATCAGTGGGAGCAGGAATACCTGCTGATTTCCTGGGGGCAATGAAAGGAGCTGCTTTCTCACACGGCAGTGTGACCGTGTTCAAAATAAAATTAAAAAGCCTTTTGGCATGCTGCTCTGTTTCCAGAAGTCTGGATTTATTTTCTCCCCAAGACTTCCCCATAAAGTGAGGCCCCGAGCCCAATTGAAATCAGTAGGAGTTGCCCCAGTGACCTCAGTAAACCCAGGATTTTCATTTGCAATGTTCCATTTGTGTGATTATTCCCAAAACACAACATAAAACTGCCCAAGAAAGGGAAATTAATTTTGAAATCCCTCTGTAATCTGATTATCTAAAATACAGGTGGAAACCTTTCTATTAAATCTTACCAAACTCCTGCTCATCAGGTTTTATATGCCTTCCCCTAAGCTTTTCTATGCTTTATCTTCAGCCATGAATCTATAGGCAGAACAGTAAATCTGTGTGAGGTTTTATGTAGATTTTTACAGTCTGTGTATGGAATTCATAGCACATAAAATGCATAGCATGGATAAAGTGTTTTTAAGATTAGAAAGTGTGTGTAAATTGTCCATTGTCTGTTCAGCACAAAGCAAAACCAGACACAGCTATTTTGCTTGAAGGCACTGGTATTTTGAAGGAGCTTCTTGAAGTCTTCGAGCTTGTTGATAGCATCAGAAACACATTTATATTAAGCCTTTAATTGTAGCATTTTAAAATCAGCTTTCTAATTGTTTTCTATGGGCAAAGATAACATAGTTGGCCTTCAGGGATCCTCTATCCTGCTCCAATGGGGTTTGCATTTCAGCAGATACTAGCAAATGCAATTTTCTAGATCTCGTTTTAAAGCTTCACAGTGATGTTAAGTGCTGCTTGGGGAGCATCAGCATTTCAAAAATAGTAGTGTCTGGTTTTAGCCTAACAACAAACAAGAGCTTGCATGGAGAGATACTGTCAGCAGTGATGCTGTGGTTGAGTACAGAGGAAGGGTTTCCATTTCCTTGAGGGGGAAACACCTTGTCTTGCCTTAATGTGATAGCAACCACATGCTGAGCATCATGTCTAACAATTCAGGCCCCATGTAGAATTTGAAGGCATAACATGCAATGAGGGACCACCGTGTGAAGGCAGCAGTGGAAGGTCCCAGGGCTGTTGTGAGTAAGCTGATTTCATGAGCCAAAGAACTGGGATCCTGTATCACAATGCTCTCAGTGATGGAAGGTTATAGCTGGGCTGCTGAATGGCATGTGGTTGTGATTTTTCCCAACTGTGAATCCCGTTCTGCATTTTATTGTTCTGGGAGACTGTCCACCTTTCCGGTACCCTGGGCTGTTTGTTCTTGCTCTGGGCCAGAGGTTTGCATGTGATCAAAGTCCCTGTCTGCTGAGAATGGGGGGACTTGGAGCACCTCGTTGAAAGGACTGTCTGAGTGAGGGTGGATATCCTAGCCGTGCTTTGGTGAGCTGCTTGCAAGCTCTCCTGGACATGCTGAACTAGCATGGCAGGAGAGGGCAGGATAATTTTTACACATTTATGTGTGTATATGTATTTCAGTGTTCCCTAGCCTCACTTTCTCCAGCCAATTGTGCTTGAAATGGAAAATGAGCATTAATTCACTTTTTTTAGGGTATAAGAACTGAGATTCTGCGAAGACTAATTCATGCTTCTGTCTTTACAAAGTCAACAGTCCCAATGGGCTCAGGGGAGGTGGCAGGGGACAGGACTCAATGAATACCTTAAAAGCATACATGCAAACATCTGCTTTCTTCTCTAACACCTTGTTCTTAGGAAGTTGTGATGCAATAAAATAAATTCGTAGGGAGCTGGAGCTTGGCATGTCTGGCTTGTTTCTGTAAAGGGACTTTTTATGAACAAAAGAACCAAGGAGGTATCGCAAAGACACTTCCAGATTTCCCTTTGGTTGTAGTCTTAAGCTATGGTGTGACATGTTCTTGCTTTTCTTCTTCCCCACCAGGGCATGCTGGTAGTGGTACTTGCATGAGACGCCATTAGTGCTTAGGGAGAAGTGATGGTGAGGGAGAGAGATGAAGGTCAGAGATCTGGAATACAGAGGAAAATTGTCTAATCAGAAATCACAGCTCCCATCAGGCACAGACAATAGATGGTAAACTGGCTTCAGAACTATTCAGGCATCAAGGGAGACAAATCAACAGACCTCAGGTAGGAATACAGTCATGACAACTGTTTAAATGGGGTTTTAGATTTGCTTATGCTTGAGACTTTCCTCAGCCCTACAAAGGGAGAAGTTGTTTTGCTGCCTTAGAATAACGCCTGTACAAGTTTTTGCCTTTGTCCTTCATGCTTCATACAGTAGTTTCTTTACTATATGTGCTATATAAGCTGGTTTTCCTCCTCGGTGCTAGGGCATGAGCAGGCTGACTGACCCTGCTTAAGGAAACAGTTTTCAAATGTAACCTGTAATTGTCATATCAAGCATTCTCCTTCATCCCTCCATGCACTGTCTTTGTTGGCATGTAATAAGATGGCAGAGAGCAGGAGTCCTAAGACACAGTTGGGTGAGGAAGCTTTCCCTGCACCCCTGTGTTTCCAAGGATGGCAGTAGCAGGGTGCTGTGTTCGCTTACCAAATACTCATACAGATTTAATGTGAATTGAGCGGGGGCTCAACATGATGCCTTTCTGGTGAATTAGCCTGGAGCACACAGGATGGCCTTTGCAAGTTCTGTGATTCCTGTGTCACCTTTCTGCCAGCTGGGGGGGGGAGATGGATGATCCCAGATCCGGCATGAAGCCTGTTGGTGTTCCGAGCAAATATGAAGTGGCAGGGTGAGTTCATACTGGGTCAGCATTTCATGGCATTTCTGAGCTGGTATTGGGAGCTTTAGAAATCATTGAAGTGCAACATGAGATATGTAAAAGTTGGGGTTCCTACCAGCTAATGGCAGTTACTTTTCTCCCCATTTTACAAGCAATGTTCCCCAACAGAGCAGTCACAGTCATCATGGGTATCACTAGCTCTGGGTACTGGGGAAAGGCAGAGCCCTGAAGGTGAGTTGTGGAATGGTCAGTATAATCAGCTGAAAGATACCGTGGTGTTCTGATTCCTTCCTAGCATTTTCTAGCAGTGCAGGCTGCACTGGCAGGCTTGTTGTCACTGGTTGGAGGGGTATTTTCAGGTGATGAAGCGTGACTCCCAGCGTTAGGAGGGCTGAGAGCAAACACCTCCTGTTCCCCATCAAGGAAAGCTGTCATTCAGTACTCCATGTCTGCCTTTGTAAGAAGCAACGCCAAAAAAGAGTGGAATTAAGTGACCTAGAGCTTGGAATGAGATGTGTGAGCTGATCTGGGAGGCAGGTTTACAGACTGCAATTTAAATATAGGCAGCACAGGACGGAACTAGTGCATTGGATTACAGTAGGACTGATGAATTAGTAAGGATAAGCTATCCATAATGTCAATGTGTTGGCACAGGCAGGTAAGGGAGAGGAAGATGTGCGCATTGAAAGTACTCTCAGCACAGTCAGGATAAGATCAGGACCCTTCAAAGGAAGAAAAGTCAGCCAAGTTAAGGACGAAGAAATCTCCCTCCCTTGGTTTCTGCCGTTGTCATGCTGCTCAAGTGATTGTGTAGATTATGTGCTTTTGCCTAGCTCCTGCTAGGACACCAAAGTAAGAGAAAGGAGCGACCCCAGAAGGCCAGAACGAGGTCTTTCAAAGGTCATTAACAGAACTGGTTTCTCATCAATATACTGCTTGATCGGAGGAAAAGACTTCAAATTGCAGGGCTTTGATTGCCGAGGGGGAAGCTTTTAACCGCTTCCTGCTGCTCTGTCATTTTGTGCTAACCCCAAATGGCCCCTTTAAATTGATGTCCTGTTTCCCATTCACTGCCCACAAATCACTCTTCTCCTGTTAATATAGGAAACATTTGCACGTGATAGGAATTGGAGCGGCTAAACAGTAAATCCCAAAAACAGTGAAGAACTCAAACGTATTTACCTAGAGATCAAGGTGTCGATTCCCCTTCCCCAGCACTTCATAGCATTCAGCTGTGAACTTCATTAAAAAATACAGACCCTCGTGTCTGCCTTAAGAGAATCTTTGCACAAATACTGGTCCCAAACAATGCAGTGTAAATTACATCAGAATCAGTCTGATTTCTGTGTGACAGCTGATTTCTTGCAGCTAATCAGAAGATAAAACAAAGGCTTGGGGTGATGCAGCTGTTCAGGCAATGGGGCGTCATTGCTGACACTGCGTGACACTGCTCTGGGCTAGATCAGCAATGAAAACAGCACAACAGCTCTGTCTTCTCAGGGCAGCAGTCCCGTGTGTGCCTGGAGCCTGGAAGCTCTTTGGGCTGAAGAGGAGCTGGTGGCTGAGCCCCAGAAAGGTTTTTGTTTGCTTTGATATATGTCTGAACTTAGAGTCTTACAGATTTGCACATACATGCACTTTTCCATCCAGAGTTCTTGGTCCTTCTGTTGGCAGCGTTTTACTGAAGTCCATTTTTACTGTCAGTAAAAGATGCTGACTGTGCACTGGGGTGATGTGTAGTCTCCTTTTATATCTGATCTGCTACAGAGTTCCTCCAGCAGCAAAGGGAACTATAGGTAACTGGACAGTGAGTCCTGAAACAAGGCCAGGTAACATACAAATACCTTAAGAATGGTCTCAAAGTACTTTGACTTGACTGGAGAGGATAGTTAGTGAGCACCTTGTAATCTATGGTGTTTGTTTTGTGAGTAAAAAGGAAAAACAAGTACCCATTCTTCTGTTCCCCTTCAAACAGCACTTTTCCCTTCTCTCCTCCATATCTCCATTTCCCCTGCTGCAAAAATGGGAGGATAAAATCAAGCGCCTCTGCAAAGTGCTTTGATATCTGCTCATCAAAACTGCTCTATAGGCAGCAGGTATCAGGACAAGCTCAGTGAAGCCCCTGCTTTCCTCAGGCAGCTGAGATCGCTGGTGTGCTCTGTCACTGAAAGATTTCCAATAGCCTTAAATGTCACTAAACTGAGAAAAGTGGCATTGCTGAAAATGGGGATGAAAGTGGCCTCTGATGTAAATGCTTTCTAAAACCTGTGTAATCCTCAACTGCTTTAGTTCCAACAGCTCTTCCCGTGAAATGAACTGCCAGCCAAAAGGTAAATAAAAACGCAAAGTATCCCCAAAGCAAACATGTTACTGCCTTTTAAAACAAGTCCATTTAAATAACGTGGAAATATATTAAAGAAACAAAATCTATTCCGCTTTATGTTTAAAGATGAGTTAATGCAAATATCACAGGTTTATCCTGCATTACTCCCTTGAGAGGAGTCACTGGGGAAGCAATTTGTTTCTTGTTAGCTAAGACAGGATGCTTTGAAGTTAGTGAGTTGTCTGTCTGTGAGTGGCCTATTTAATCCTGAGGAAAAGTGTCAAATCTGAGCTGAAGTGATGTCTGCATTGTTTAAAGCTCTGGCAAGAAGAGTTCTTCAGGTGACACCAACCAGCACTATGAGGGACAGTGGAAATGGCACAAAGGATTCCTGGAAGGAATTTTTTATTGGCTATCAACGATGGACATGCAGCCCTGAAGAGTGTCATCAGGAGGGCCTCTATTATGCCTTCCCTTTGGGGTTTTTCCTTCTTTTAAACCGGTTACTACTACGCTAAAGGCTCTCGTCAATTGCTTCTTGGTGGCAGCAGTGAGGACTGGCTGCTGGGAAAACCACCCAAAGTGGTTTTTTTCCCCCAAAGACAGCCTGTAACTGGATTAACTAAATTACATAGAATAATTTCATTTCAGCTTGGAATATTTTACTGATTTCATGTACAGGATCACTCTATGATCCTGTTGGGTGGCCCGGCTCTGTAGGCAGTGAGTTGTGACTGGTTATGCGATGAAACATACCTCTCGCCAGCTGTTTCTCTGCACAGAAGATGTTAAAAGCTGTTGTCTGAAAGTCTAGAGCCATGGAGTTCGTAGCAGGCTACACCTTCATCCCAGAACTGTGTTCAGAAGGCAAGTTTTGTACTCTTTAATTACAATCAGACCCTCAGCCCAGCTCCTCTTAGCTACTATACTTGAGCTCTGCACAGTGTCAGCTTTTAGCCTGAAGATACCAGCCATGGGGTATCAGCTGCGAAGAAAATCTCTGCAGTGTGAACAGCCTATAAAACGATTCAGGGAGGTCAACATGCATCTGAAGGTAGCTCAAAACAACACCTAAAGGAGGAATATAAACTGTTTACTACAACTGGATTTGCACTGAAAGCTACTGATGCAAAATTCATAGCCAACATGAATTAATTTGCTCCTGATCATTCCTTACAAAACCCTCCACCTTCTTCCCCCTTTCCCTAATGACTTGTATTTGACAGCTGTGGATTTGCAAAGCAAACTGCAGTAGCAGAACAGACAGCAGCATTCTGAAACAGCACTAAAAAACTGTGAATTGAATTGCTCTTGAAACTTTAAAGTTGCAGCCAATTTATACCAAATTAAACTGTTTTTATGGACCATATGTAATCTTTGAGATCTTTCTTCTCATTATCACCTGTGAGTGAGGGAGAAGAATTAGCCCTATTTTAGAGATAGGGAAATGAGGCACAGGACATCTGAGACAGTCCTGGAAATGACTGCTACATAGTCTTACTCGCAAGAAGGCACTACCTCAGCTTTTCATGTTAGCTGGATTAGCTGCAAGATCTCAAATTGGTTTTCCTGGTGTGCCACAGAATTTAGGTCAAGTTCCCACTGGGGACCAGGCAGGGAGTGACATGTGCAATGTTTCTGCAGGTTCGTACCAGCATCTCTGCCGGAGCGGAGAGGAAGGTGTTGGTGTTTCAGCATTTCATCCCCGTTCCTCCTCTGAAGGGTGAGCAGAAGGCTGTAGCTGAGTTAATGGCCTCTGCAAATGCACTATAAAGCTGGTTTATGTAATGACCTGGAATTTATATCTTTGGTCATGAAACAGGACCTGGTGGCTGTTTTAATGACTAGCATGTAGTGTAAATACTGATGTGAATTCTTTACTTGGATAGTCCATGCATGCCGGTGGAGTCAAGGAGAACTGGGCTGCTATCCAAGGACAGAAGCTGGTTGCTTTTCTGTTTAGGATACATTGAAAACATTAGGTATGAGATGTGAGAAGAATAAATAAGCCTGTTCACCACGTGGAAGCGAGCTGCCTTACAGAGGGTTTAGCTGCAAAA